TTTTTTTTTTAGTGCTAGCTGTTACATTTAGGTCTGTAATCCATTTTGAATTAATATTTATAGAATGTATGAGGAAGGTCATAACTTCATTTTTTTTTTTTGCTTACAGTTATCCAGTTGTCCCAGGACCTTTTGTTGAAAAGACAGTTTTTTTCCTTCATTGCTGCCCTTGTAGAAATGCAATTGACCATGAATATAAGTATTTATTTCAGGACTTTCAGTTCTATATCATTTTCTTTCCTTATGCACCATCATCACACTATCATGATTACAGTAACTTTGTAAAGTAAATTTTGAAATCGGGAAGAATGAGTCATTCTGTTTGTTCTTTTATTTCACTGTTCTGGGTCCCTGATCCCACGGGAACTTTAGCAAGACTTTGTCACTTTCTTCAGAAAAGTCAGCTGAGCTATTGAGAAGGATTGCTTTAAACTATGTAAATCAATTTTGGGAAAGTCCCTTGAGTTTTGTACTTTTAATTTTAAACTTTATTTCTGCCTAGATTATCCTTTCTTACAAAATTAATTTTCTTTACTGGATTTTGTAAATGTGCGTAAAACATAATTTTGTGTATTGGTGTTAAATTAGTCATGAAGAGATTTGAAGTTATTATTTTTTGTATTGTTAAAAACATTCATTTAGGCTAAAGACCTCTGTAGTAAAAATCTGTATAAACAGATTATCATAAAGGAGCTACTGGGAGAGGTGCCAAACTGTTTCAGAGCTATTATGAAATAGAGCTTAATTCCATGTCAAAGAATTTCCAAAAGCCCTTGAAAATTTTGCTTTATTTTTCTGCTCAGATTCACATTGTATTTCTAAGTCTTAAGAAAAGTTTATGTATGGTACCGGAGAATTACATATGAATAGTGCTTCTATGGAATGTAGTTAGGATTACGGAAATAAATATTTTAGACTTTCATCATTTTTTAGATTCCATTGGTCCCTCAAGAAGACATGAGTAGCTATTTGATAGCTTGTGTAGGTTTTTTTAGTAAATGAATACCATAATCTGGGCCTTCCTGGTGGCCTTGGGCTTAAGTCTTAGTGCTAGCACCACTATGGGCATGAGTTTGATCTCCAGCCAGGGAGCTAATTCACATGGTGCAGCAGACCTCTCCTGTTTCACCTGCTGCTCCCCTCAGTATTGTATTTCAGGAGCTCTGCCTATTCTGCTCCCTACTCTGTCTCTGGTGAATCCTTTCATTAATTCCCCCCCCCCCCCGCCATGTACCCCCTAGCTCACTCCTCTGCCTTATACCCCAGCTCTTGTATGCATAAATAAATAAAAAAGAGCCAATTTTCATTTCCACCAATAGGAAAATTTCTTTTAATTCATTTTTTTCTCCATTCCATTTGTATCACCAACGTATTGCCCTGGGAGCTTATAAATACATATTAAAGATGAAACAAAACATTAATTTTTCCTTTTGCTTCAATTGCACATATTTTGAATAATTTTTGTTTGAAAAGTAAAATAAGTTAGTAGCAGTAATAGTGGCATTAACAAACTGCTTTATTTTACAGGAAAAGTATTCATCCCTAAACAGAAACCTGTACAGACTTTCACAGAAGAAAAAGTATCTCTTGATCCAGAATTAGAAGAAGCTTTGACAAGTGCTTCTGATACAGAATTGTGTGACCTTGCAGGTATAAACTAAATCAAGTTCATTTGTGAATGAGTGTGGAGGGGAAAGGAATACCAGCACACGTACATTATACAAATGCTTCCTTTGCCTAAAAACTGTTGAATTAGTAACTACATACATGGCTTTGTCTCTGACATAAAGGATTTCATTTCTTTAAATTCTCTCAGTGGTTAAATCTTTTCCCATATTGCCATATTTAAAAATCTTAATAGAAATCTTTCATCAACTGTTGCCCAGCTAGAAGTGGTTTCCTTTAAGCACTGAAAAAGAGTCTGAAAGGTCCACTGTGTTTCTATTTTATCATATTTCCCAAAGATTGTAACTGGAAAGCAGATGAAGCAGACAGTCCTAGACTGTTCTCACTGCTTTACCAGCTTTATTGAAGTATATGGAACATTCCCAATCTCACTGTTGTTTTAATTATTCTTAGTTTCTTATTTGGACTAGTGTTCTTCCCCACTTACCTACACGCACCCATTTTCCATATAGCAAACCTGCATAGAGATATTTTGGTGCCAAGTAACCCCAAGAGCTAGTGTTTTTGAAAGGAACAGTGTAGTTTTATAAGTGGTGTATTCATTAAATGGGTGGGGATAATACGGTAGCTTCTTTCTTTGTGCAAGTGGAAATCAAAAACAAAAAAAATATTATTTCTTAAGTGTCATCTTTTGAGGGTAGTTATTTTAATCTTAGGTATGAGAACCTAGATATAATTTTAGTTTTAATTCTACTCTTAGATAGCATGAATTCTACTCTTAGATAGCTTGTAAAAATAACAAAGGTTAAGTTGAAAACCGACATTTTATCTTACAGTATGACAGAGCATTTTAATTTTCTCTTTTTAACCACCAGATGGAGCTAAGCATAGCTTTATATTTAGGGTTAGGCTGACTCCAACTGTGTGTGTGAGTTCAGAAATGTGGAGGGAAATAAGAGAGTTGTTGAGAAAGAGAAAGGTGATTTTAAATCATTCTCCGTGTGTGTGTGTGTGTGTGTGTGTGTGTGTGTGTTTCTTGGTTGCAAAATCTGTATAGAGTAGAAAAATGTTTAGAGAATGTTAAAATCACTGACAAAACTTTTTTGTTGTAAAGCTAATTCTTTGTTTTTTCTATATTTGTAGCTATTCTTGGGATGCACAACTTAATAACAAATTCACAGTTCTGTAGTATAGTGGGAAATAGTAGTAATGGTGTGGACCAAGAACATTTTTCAAGTGAGTACTTACAATATTTTGTGAATTTAAATCCTTTCTAAATATATTTTGCTAACTTCTTATATCAATCTTATTTTATTCATGACAAATGTTATATATTTATGTTTAAAACTTGATTCCAGTTTGATGGTATTGACATTGAAAACCACTGAAAATAAAATACTAAGTACTTTCTGCTTAATGTTCCAACAAATGTAATAGAAACGCTATTACCTCACTACATACTAATGTTAAACAGTATAAAAGCTGGTCAACTTGCCTTACATTGACATTTTATTTTCAGTGTGACTTATTTTCAAGAAATCTGCAACTTAATCAATGTTTTGCTTAATGAATGTTCTATAATTTGGCCCTTTTCTGTATTTATTTTTTACTTTTTAGTGTAAAAATGTTCAAAGTATACATAATTGAAAAGAAAATATACCCACCATTGAACATCAATTTTTAACGTTTTGCCAGTTTGTTTCATCCATCATTCCCTGCCACCCCATCCACTTTTATACTTAGACTATTTCATAATAAATTCTGTTCATTTATTCCACCTACCCATAAATATTTCCATGTGTGTCTTTCACAAATAAGTATTTCTTTTAACATAGCTATATACACCATTACTCAGTTCATGTACAGATTTATCCTATTATCTCAAGACCATCCTTTCCCTGTTAATTTGTTGAAATCAGGATCCAGTTAAGGGCCACATTTGCATCTGTCTTTTCAGTTCATATTAATTTTATAATAGTTATCCATAGCTCCTCTTTCCTTCTTTTTTTGATGCCACTTGTTTATTGAAGAAACTGGGTTCTTTGTAATGTAGAATTTTCCACATTCTGGATTTGATTGATTGTAATCTCATGGTATCATGTTTGTTGTTTTTCTATTTCTTATGTTTCTATAAACTGTTAGTTCTAGAGACTTGGTCAGGTTCAGCTCTGTTTGTTTGTTGGTTAGAATGCTTCCTAGGACCTCTCTGTGGGGTAGGGGTTAAAGTCTCAGCACTGTCAAGCTATCACTAGCCACCGCAGCAGGAGTTTAATCCTGCCAGAGAACTGACCCATATATGGTGCAGCAGACCTTTTCTGCCTCCCCACTGCTCCCCTCAGCAGGGTATTTTAGTGGATTTGCTTTTTCTGCTCCCCACTCTGTCTCTGGTGAATCCTCTCACTCCCCATAATCCTCTCACTCCCCATACCACTGACCTACACCCCAGTTCTTACATAAAAACTTGTACAAGAACTTGCATAAGAACTGGGGTGTTCTTGTGTAAGTTTTTGTAAAAATAAATCCTTTAAAAAGAAAAGAAAGAATGCTTCCTAGAAAGATGTTCCACCTCAGGGAGCATTTCAGTCTGGTTGTTCTTCTTTGGAGGATGTGGTAAGATTGATCAGTGGGCTTAAATATTAGCAGCCTGGCCCATCTAGCTAAAGTTCCCCATGAGCCTTTCTAATGATTTTAGCTTTCCATTGACTGACTCCATTATTTCATAGGAGGCAAAGGCTCTTTAAATATGCATTTACATACACTCTTGAGTGACAAAGGAAATCCTTTGTGTAAAATTTAGAATTGTGAAAGAACTTATTCAGTTTTCAATTCAGCAAGGAAGCCCTTCTACAACCTCCTTGATCTTTGCTAAAGTTATATGAGAGGAAGCCCACTTCTTTCTTTTAGCAGAGCTCTACTATGGAAGCCTTTTATTATATTTAGCCAAATTCTGCCTGTTAGTAATTTATACCTGTTCTAATCCATTACTTCAGAACAACAAAATTTCTCTCCTTCTTTAGAATAAATCTGAAAAAAACTAACATACTTTCTTTTAAGTACTTCCTAACTAACCATATTTACATCTTCGCATTTCCTCAAGAAAATGTCTAACTTGTGTGTTTGTGTGTATGTATGTGTATTCAGTATTTGAAGGGAACAGGTACTCTTAGAGGAAATTTACTGAATGAGTAAGTAGTATACTGTGCCTCAAAGTGAGTTTTGTTCCTCAAAGCCAGAGAAAAGAACTAAGCCAGACAGTTACCCTGTCAGTCTTTATTGTGATCATTCTTCTTTGGAGAATCTGATGCTATAGATTTTCTTCCCAGGAAATATATCCACCTGGTATAGGTATTCAAAGTGCACTTACACCTCGTTAAGATAGTTCAGAGCTTCCATATCTTTCAGGTTTGAATAGTTGTATTCTGGCTAACCAAAGTATCAGCCTCTGAGACTCTTGTGCTCTCTTCACTTATTATTATAGATGTGGTAAAAGATAAAACGATTCTCCCAGTATGTGTGTGGGTTATATAACATGAAAGATTTGGGAATAAGAGTGAAGGAGGGCAGTACATTTTGGAATTTCTGTCTCAGTAGCTCTTCTGTGTATTGCATCCTCTCTCTGGCTCCCCATTCCCTACTCCTGTTCTTACTATTAGTGAGCCCTCTACCTATCCCATTTTGTAGTGTTCTCCATGGGAGTAATAGGTACTGTGTCCTGCCATCACCTTATTCTTCACATTGAAGCTGTATTTCTTCAAGTCTGTGATTCTTATAAATGTCACATTAATTGCTAATCAAATCTTAACATGTGAAGAGATGTTAAATTTAATCTTATTAGAACTTATTAATTTTATCTTCTTAAAACTTTGTCTTTAAGAATAAATGGGATCATCAAATAATGTGTTATCAAATATATTTTAGTAAACAGGTTCTGTACACTGAGCCAGTAAAAATACTCTTTTTTGAAGGTTGATACTTTGCAAAACAAACTAAATACTGAATTAATGTTTGGCATTTACATTCAATACAGTTTTACCTCATTGTTTTAAATATGTGTCAATACATTAAGGATCTTTTCAGAAATGTAAAGAAGAAACTTTTAATTATTAGTTCTCTTGAGTGTGTGTATGTGTGTTTTACCAAGTTAATATTTTATGCACTGAAAAAGTATTGACCTCTGAGACTCTTGTCTTTTCATTTATTCTGTAGATGTGGTTAAAGGTGAAAAGATTCTCCCTGTATTTGATGAGCCACCAAATCCAACCAATGTCGAAGAGAGTTTAAAGAGAATTAAAGAAAATGATGTTCGTCTTGTTGAAGTTAATTTGAATAATATAAAGGTAGGTATGCAAGCAAACAAAACATTTGGAAGTGCTTTGAATAGGTTGGATTTGGGATGACAGCTGGGCAATTCTAATACAACCTAATTGTTTCTACTTAAAAGTAAAGTTTTCCCTAACAGTGCTAACACAGACTGCTTCATATTTTCAAAACTAAAACATTACAGTATTTTCCTGACTTGCTTTCTAAAAAGGATTACATTCTGTCAGAATAACTCTCTCTCACTTCCAAAATACTGCCTTCTTTTAAGAGGGCTTAGTCTTTGGGTTTTGTTTTGTTTTTTTTTTCTCCAATCAGATTTCTGGGGATGTAATATATTGTAATGCTCTCTCTTATTAGTGAGCAAGTCAGAAATTTGACAAATGCTTACTTACCATTGTACATGTAGAACATGTCTACCCTTTGGCCATTGTTCTCTGCCTCAAGCTCTAGACTCTGACAATCACTATTCTGTTTTCTTTCCCTATAATTTGGCCTTCTCTGGATGTCACACAAGTGGAATTGTTTGTAGCCTTTTTGAGCCTGGCTTCCTTTACTTACAGTGCATTTGAGACATTTGTCAGTTGTTGCTGCTTGTGTCTCTACAGTTATGTGTCACTTAACAGGGCTATGCTTGGAGAAATGCACTGTTAGGTAATATTGTTGTTGTGCAAACATTACACAAACCTAAATGGTATATGCTTCTACACTTCATCTATATGGCATAGCTTTTGGGACCACCATCAGATATGCAGTCTGTCTTTGACCAAAACATCATTAAGCAACACATGTCCAGAGTTTGTTTCTTTGTGTTGTTGAGTAGTTTTCAATTATATGGATATGCTACAATTGGTTTGTGAGTTGCTAGACTCACGGCTGCTTCTAATTTGGTATGATTATGATTGGAGTTACTATACACATTCACATGTAGGTTTTTGTGGGAACATGTTTTTATTCCTCTTAGGTATACACATAAAGGTCAGCTTTCTGGAATCCGACTTGGTTATTAAAAATTCAACTCTTTCTTGGATTAAGGAAAGAAAAATGTATTAGAAGGGCATGGGGAGAAATAACTACCCCAAAAAATAATCTCATGTTTTCTCTTGGGTTTTTGCCATTGTATTATAGTTTCATTACAGATTCCTTGTTTTATATCATAATTTACCTGACTTGGGATGGAGGGAGCATCTGGAAATTACAAGAACCTTGGGAAAATGATCTCTGTGGGAGGAAAGAAAGCCTTGGAAAAAACTAATATCCCTACTTGATCATTAGTCTTCTTAATTTTTAAAAAAATTCAGTCCTGGTATCTGTCTGTCTCTAAATCAGCAGTAATGAACTAAATCAGGCTACAGAGTTAATGTCTTTTTTCTAAAGGGAGAAATTAATACCTTCTTATATCTTGTTACATTTCAAGTAATGTAGAGTTATTTCTCTTAAAAACTTGTAACTTAAACTAAGTGACTGAGATAGTTTGTCATCTGACCAGGAATCAGGGCTTCTCATATCTTTCTTTGTAGAAATATTGATCTATTTTGAATATGTAAAAGTTGACTTCTTATAATTAAAGGTAAAACAGTGGGAGTTTCTTTAACATAAATAATGGAGAAATGGCGCTGTACTCTGATAGGTCAACAGTTTGTGCAAATGTACCATAATAGAGACATCTAATGGCTTTGGTAGGGGCTAAATAATTTTCATTTGTAGATTATTGTGCGTTTATATAACTTCTGAATAATGCAAAAAATAAGTAAGAACAAATATATTTGATTAGTAGAATTTTCAGTAAACTAAAATTTAATAATGTTTTACATTATTGTTTTCCAAGAATATACCAATTCCAACACTAAAAGATTTTGCAAAGGCTTTGGAAACCAACACACACGTGAAACATTTCAGTCTTGTGGCTACCCGGAGCAATGACCCCGTTGCTGTTGTAAGTAAGCTGTTACTAATTATATTAAAATTATGACTATTTACAGAGCTGGCTAAACTGTGATTTTATGAATAAGTCTACTCTTTTTCAATTGCTCTTTAGCTCACACTTAGATAATACATAGTTTACTACCATTTTATTTTTATATTTCCTTGCTTTGTATTTCTAAAAACATAAATGGTGCCATGCCAAGAATGCTGTTCTGCCACTTAAGTTTTTACTCAATAATTATATCTTAGTAGTCTTTTTGCATAAAATTTTCATCATTCTTCTAATAGTTCCTGAAGCTTCCATTTCTGGATCTAAAGGCTTATATTTGTGTCAAGTGTGTGTGTGTGTGTGTGTGTGTGTGTGTGTGTGTTTAATCTGTTAAAATGATTATGTGGTTTTTGCTTTAATTTTTGGTTTTAAGGTAGGAAATGTTTGTTTATGAGTATAGAGTTATAGCTCTTCATTGTGTATCACCATACCCTCCCTGCTACCAAAGTACTAATAATCTTTTCCCACAATCCATCAGGCCCCTTCTGGTTAATTTCACTTCTATCAGAATCCAAGGGTTTGTTTTTATCTGTTCCATTGTTTTGTTTCTTTATATTCCACTTATGAGAGAAATCATCCAGTACTTGTTTTTCTCCTTCTAACTTACTTCATTTACCATAATCCCCACCAGTTCTATCCATATTGTCATAAATGGAAAGGTTTCACCATTTTTATAACTGAGTAGTATTCTGTTGTTTTTAGATATACCACATCCATACTAAATTATCTGCCATTAGACACTTTAGTTGTTTCCCTATCTTGGCTATTATAAATAGTGCTTCATTGAGCATAGTGATGCATATATCTTTTGAATTAATGTTTTTGTATTTTTCAGATAGGTACCCAGAAGTAGAATTGCTGGATCATATGATAGATCTATTTTTAATTTTTTGAGAAATCTCCATACTGCTTTCATTCAGTTTATAGTCCCACCAGCAATGCATAACGGTTCTTTTTTTTTTTTCCTCTCAACCTCACCAACACTCGTTTGTGCTCCTTTTAACATAGTCTATTCTCACAGATGTGATATCTTATGTGGCTTTGATTTGTGTTTCTGTCTTTTATTCTATTAATATGATATGATACATAACTAATTTTCATGTATTACGTCAACCTTGCATCCCTGGATATATTCTACTTGACTGTAATATGACCCTTTTTCTTTATTTGACGTTGATGAGCTTACTCCCTCATTTTCTTCCTATCTCTGTGGACATTCCTTCTGTGGTCCCCGCACTGGTTCTTCCTCATCTCTCCAACATCTTAAGTATCAAATGGCTCTGGGCCCAACCCTACATTGCCTTCATTTCCCTATCTACACTTTTTTTCTGGGTGATCTCATTCTGTTTCATTGATGTATGTTATCTTTTCTGCTAATGACTTCCAATATTACTATAATCAATTCTTACCTTTCCCTTGAATTCCATACTCATGTCCAGCTACCAATTAATTACTTTGCTTGGAACTCAGACATCTAAAATCTAAGTCTTGACATATCTCATATCTGCTTCTCTTTCACTCTTTCCTTTTCATTAAATGACAGCTTCATTCTTTTGTTCAAACAAAAAAAGAAATTATTCATTATTCTTGGTTTCCCTTTCTCATAACTTTAAATCTGTATACAGCCTTATCTTCAGAATTTCTGAAATCCAAACATTTCTCTCCATTGTCAGAATCACATAATTCAAGACACCTTTTTCACTCATCCATATTATTGCAGTAGCCCCTTAATTGAGCTGCCTACTTCCATGTTACGCCTCCCAAGGCTCACTCATTACATAGTATCAGAGTAATTCTTCTAAAACTAGATATTTCAGTTACCTTACTAGGTCTTGTATAAGCAGATCTTTATTACTTGCCCTTTCATTCTATTTTAGCCATATAGCCTTCTTATTCTTCCTGAAACACACTGTCCTACCTCAGGGCTTTTCCACTTGTGCCTCCTGCCTAGAACTTTCTCCCTAAATTCCACATTGTTTTTACTTCAGTATTTTGCATTTTTACACAATTATCACCTCCTAGGTGAAATTATTGACAACTCTATGTAAGTTGCTATTTCATTCCTATTGTCAGTTCTCTCCATATACCCTGTTTTGCCTTTTGCTTTCTTCTGTAGTCACTTTTTACTACTTGATATTACATTTTGCTTTCTTGTTCATTATCTAACACACACACACCTGCCTGTCCATGTACATTACATCAGGAAGAGACTTGTATGTTTTACTTTTCAAACTGTAGAACAGTACTTATCAATAAAAAGCAATCAGTGGTATTTGAATGCATGTATATACATTGAATACAGTTATGTACAAATGATGCATAAGGTTCTGTTCCATTTCACATAGTCATCTGATAAAAATACAAAAGTGTAGAAACTCAAGTTCTATTATCCTTGCTCCCATTTTCGTTTCTTGGTGTTTAGTTTACCCTTATTTTCTGGAGTTTAAACTTTTTTACTCCTCTTAGCTGTTTTATATAAACTCATATTCTTCCTCCCACCCACCTCGTCTCTTTCACTGTCTTTTCCCCTGCCTCTTTGTCTCATTCCTTCTTATCTCTTCCCCATCTTATCATTTGCAGTTTTCTGCTGACTAATAAAAATGGTGTTTATTAAGCACTGGATTAAATGCCTGACAAGACCATATCCTAGGAGAAATTTAATGAAAGCACATTACAGACATATAGCTTTCAGGGCCCTCCTGGTGGTGCAAGAGGTTAAAGCACATACTGTGAAGCTATTTGCAGTCACTGCAGCACAAGTTCTATTCCTGGCCAGGGAGCTGACCCACATGGTGCAGCAGACATACATGGTGCAGCAGACTCTCCTTTTCTGCCCGCTACTCTCCTCGGCAGTGTATTTCAGTCAGTCTGCCTGGTCTGCTCCCCTGGCTCTGGTGAATCCTCTCACCACCCCCTCCCCGCACCTCTGGCCTGACCTCAGTTCTTATATGCACAAATGAATAAATCTTTTTTAAAAGAAAAAGACATATCCTTTTAGCAGATTGAAGACATACTTTTCCTTGTTTAATATATATTTCACCCCTTATTCTCTGTAGTCATTGTTTTTTTGCAGTTCTAGTTATCTAATGTTTTTCTAGCTTTCTGCCTTAGGCATTCCTTTTGCTCCCTGCCTTAAAATTAGCTCATACTTTACTCTTTTTTTTATTTTGTAAGATTTACTTATTTATTTATGCATACAAGTACTGGGGTGTAGACCAGATATGTGGAGGTGAGAGGATTCACCAGAGACAGGATGGATCAAAACTGGTAGATCCACTAAAATACACTGCTGGAGGGAGCAACAGGCAAGACAGGAGAGGTCTGCTGTGCCATGTGGGTAAGCTCTGGGGCCTGGTTCAAACCCATGCCACAGTGGTTGATGACAGCTTGCCAATGCTATCTTTAATCCCTGCGCCACCAGGGAGGCCCATACTCTTTTTGGACTTTGCAGAAACCCAGCTGCATCAGTACAGGTGATCCAAAAATACATTGATGAAGTTAGTCCTACACAGAAACTGAAAAACACAGGAAAAAGAAATATGAAGTAGAAAAATGAAAGAACATAATGTGAATAACACTAGAAAATGTTGCCAACAGGAAATTACATATGACAAAAAAATCCAAAGATTTGGACAGGTTGTACATAAATACATGTAAGACCTATCGAGTAGTAGTCAACTAAAACAATTCATTGAGAAATCTTAAGGCATTATGTTGATTAATGTGTTAATATTTGTTTCTGGCATGTATAGACTGTAATAGGTGCTATCAAATATTAATCTCCAACTGTTTTCTTTAACTTCTAGGCTTTTGCAGATATGTTGAAAGTGAACAAAAACTTGAAGAGCTTAAATATGGAGTCCAACTTTATTACTGGAGTTGGGGTTCTTGCACTCATTGATGCTTTAAGAGATAATGAAACCCTGGCAGAGCTCAAGATTGACAATCAGGTCAGTGTCTTTCAGACCCAATAACCCACATTGCTGTGGGAGTTTAGGGGGCTCAGAAGGTGGCTGGGAAAATGTTTTTGGAAAGGCAGAGGCCTGAGAAGGCATGAGAGGTGGAACAGCCAAAATACTAATGTGTAGAATAGTATATAAATAGTATATAAAAGCAACTCTTCTTCAGCCATTCTAAGAGAATTTAGGTGACTGGCTTTTTAAAAAAAATAATAATAATTTCTTTAAAATTACATTGGCTTTATAACATTATTTAGGTTTTATTTGACATCTGTATACATTGCTTCTTGATCACCACCAAAAGCCTAGTTTCTATTCATCTCCATACAGTAGACCATTCTTTCACCCAATCTCCAGCCCCCTTCCCTTATGGTAACCATTAGCCTGTTCTCAGTATCAAGAATTTGTTTTGTTTGTTTACTTATTTTATCTCTTTATCTTACAATTTAAGTGAAATCAGACAGCTTTTATCTTTGATTTAATTCACTTACATGATACACTCAAAGTTCATCTGTTTTGTCACAAATAGCAACATTTCTTTTTTTATAATAAAGAAATTTTGTTTATATTTATAAAACACTTATTTAATAAGTATTAAGTACTTATTTATTGAATAAGTGTTCCTGCGTGTCTATAGAAGATCTTCTTTATCCATTTGTCTGTAGATAGGCATTTAATGTTATTTTCATGTCTTGGCTATTGTGGGTAGTGCTGTAATGAACATATAAAGGTGCATATATCTGTTCGTATTTGTGTCTTTATATTCTTTGAATAAAAGCCCAGAAGTAGAATAGCTGGCTTACATGGTAGTGTCTTCTTAGTTTTTCTTTTAACTGACAACATTGGCTTACAGCATTGTAATATTCTTATATTTTTGTGGAACCTCCATACAGTTTTCCATAGTGGCTGCACTTAGTTTCTCACCAACAGTATGTGTGGGTTCCTTGTTTCCACATCCTCACCAACACCTCTTTCACACCTAGCTATTTTGAGCTGGAAGTTCTAACAGGTGACAGTCCATCCTCAAATTTCAGCTCCATCATACACTTTTTGTATCTGTGGTATATCACAGTCTCAAACATACAGTAGATGAATAGGTTGAATGAACAGAAGGCTCCGTATCCGGTTTCTGTTTAACTGAACGCAGTACTGATGCCATGTGATAATGTTGAGTAACCCACGTCCAGGTAACTTTTCTTTAAAGAGGAAGAGAAATACACATTAGAAATGTTTCCATTCAGAGTGATAATTAAAAAGACTTAATATATTTGACTTATATATTTGAAATACTTATTTTTTTTACTTTAAAAATTACCTCAATTACTTGAAAATATGTTTGTAAATGTCTACCTCAATCCTTCAAAATAAATAAATTTTGTAGCTCATGAAGGTAAAAAGGATCATATTTTAAAACTTAACTAGAATGCTATTTAACTCATGTTTTCAATTTTTGGGTGGGGATATAAGTCACATACCATTCTTTTAAAGTATATAGTGAAGTGGTTTTTAATATATCCATAGAGTTGTGCAGCAGTCAACACTAATTCCAGAACATTTTATCACCATGAAAAGAGACTCCATGCCCATTAGCCATCACTCCCAGTTCACCCTTCCCAGCAGTCCCCACCAACCACTAATCTATTTTCTACCTCTATGTATTTGCCTATTTTGGACAGTCCATTAATTGTAATTATAATTTTTTTTTATATTTGCTTTCTTTCATTCAGTTAAATGTTCTGGAGGTTCATCTACACCATATTAAGTATATCAGTACTTAATTTCCTTTTAGCATTGAATATCGTTTTCTATTTTTGAAAGGTACAAATAATCTGTTGTGAAAATTTATGCACAAGTTTTTTTTTTTCTTATAAAGATTTATTTGTACATGCAGAACTGGGGGGTACAGGCCAGAGGCACAGGGGCGGTGAGAGGATTCACCAGAGACAGAGTGGGGAGCAGAACAGAGAGATCGACGGAAGTACACTGCTGAGGGGAGCAGCGGGTGGGTCAGGAGAGGTCTGCTGCACCATGTGGTCACCTCCGGGCCGGCGGGTATCAAACTCGTGTGGAAGTGGCTTTAGCTTCTTAGTGCTGTGCTTTAACCGGCTGTGCCACCAGGGAGGGCCCGCACAAGTTTTTATATGAATGTTTTCATTTCTCAGGAGTATAGACTAGAAGTGGAATTAGGTTACGTCCTGTTTAAACTTTTTGAGGAGTGGTTACACTGTTTTCCACAGCAGCTGTACTACTCCTATCTTGATGCCCCAAGTTCCCAATTGTTCCCCTTTCTTCTATTTTATTGTCATTATTATTGTAAATTATTATACTCAGTCATTATAGTTGAATATGAAGTGAGATCTTGTTGTAATCCAGACATTTCATCTGTTGAACTTCAATTTTTTATTTGTTATATATTGAAATGAATATATTGCAAAAATTGGGAAAGTTTTAATTGTTCAAATGTCTTAGTCTTTGAAAGTATTTGATCTAATATGTTAATGCTATCCTTTATTTCTAATGATTCCAGAGGCAGCAGTTGGGGACAGCTGTAGAATTGGAAATGGCCAAGATGCTTGAGGAAAATACAAATATCCTTAAGTTTGGATATCAGTTTACACAACAGGGACCTCGAACCAGAGCAGCTAATGCTATAACCAAAAATAATGACTTAGGTAAGAAAAATGCAGTATAAAGTTATTAAGATAATATTTTGGAGAAATACTTCTTTATTTTCTTAAACAAATGTTAACAGATTACCTAGCCTTTATTTCTAAAATTTGCATAGTCTTTTCTCTTTTGGTTGAACTAGGTTCAACTTAATGGAGGTCATGGTGATTGGGTTGAGGATAAAAATAACAAATTTGTAACAAATAAATTTTATACCTTAAAGTGAACTGTTTTCTACAACAAACATGATAGCAAATGCTTCCTATAACAAATATTTTGCTCTCAGTTACAAGTCATCCATTTGAACTGTTGAGAATTTTCACATGAAAAGTTTTTTGCCCTTTCAACAAACATGAAAATTTAACTTTATATGGCAAAGTATAAAATAACTGTAGTTTTAACCCCAAGCTTTAGAGTTAGTGGTGTGCGAGTATTTGTTATTCTTACTGGCATCCCCAACACAGCTGTTTCTGTGCAGTTTGTCTTCTCCCTGTTGATGCCCAGCTTAGGAGTGCCCCATTCCTTCACAGTTCTTACTGAACTACTGGGGCTTATAGCTTCTGCTTGAAGTAAATTTTCTAGCCAAGCCTATGTTAAAGAATATGATGCTTAATCATTTTGTTCTACGTGTCACCAAAATTGATTATTCTTTTAAGTTTGGTGTTTGTTCACACAAATATTTTAAAAGATGTATTTCACAAGAATTAAAATAAGACTTCCTAAAGGGAGTAACATTTCAGAATGGTAAGTCATATTTGAGTTTGCATTTTATAAAGGAATAAAATACACCTTCATTCCTTTAATCAAGAACACAGTGGATTAGTTCAAACTCTCTGTCCTTTCATGCCTATATAAAATTCCAATAAAAGGTTTTAGCTTCTTGCTTTTTTTTTTTTTAAGATTTATTTATTTGTACATACAGAACTGGGGTACAGGCCAGAGGCTCAGGGGCGGTGAGAGGATTCACCAGAGACAGTGGGGAGCAGAACAGGCAGATGATGAAGTACACTGCTGAGGGGAGCAGCGGGCGGGTCAGGAGAGGTCTGCCGCGCCATGTGGTCACCTCCTGGGCAGGCGGGAATCGAACTCATGTAGAAATGGCTTTAGCTTCTCAGTGCAGTGCTTTAACCCGCTGCGCCACCAGGGAGGGCCTAGCTTCTTGCTTTTTTAAAGATAAAATTAGTGTGTTTTGGTGCATTGTTCTAGAGTAGTTGACAACATTGTGCTAATAGTTTAATATTGGTTCCTGTTTCCATTTTTTTTTTCTCGAGGTATTTAATTTTGCTTTTTAGAGCAGTGTTTTTCAAGTCTGACCAAACTTCATAAATGATTGGAGTGTTCTTAGAATATTTACATTATTGACTCCATAAATGTTAGTTTTTTACTTAGACTTCATTGTAAAAGTCCATTTTCAGACTCAGTGGGAGCATGGGGCCTTGTCTATCTGTTGCATCCACATCTCTCAAACTATGCCCAACTCATTAGACTTAATAAACACAAAGAAAGTATTAGAATTTGAATTCTGTCCAATTTTAAAATTTTTAACTTCTGGCCATACACTTAAGCCAGAAGTGTCCTCTGCCCTTTACCTACTTAAGCTTTCCCAGGGTCCCACCAAGAAATGTGTACCCCCAACCATCTCAATCAGCTGCATCCCTTCCAACAGACAGGTGATCCCAACTGCTGTAGAACAGCGAGTGCCCATGTCAGCAGTGATACTGACCTGTGCAAGGCCTCAGCCCTTGCTGTGCTCTTCTTCCCATCCTGTTGTGGCAGGTTCTTTGCTCATATTCTAATAATAAGTATCAGGTAGAGTAAGGGATATTTTGGCAGATAAAAAGTGAGGAAGCAGATGAAAACTGTTTCCTAGGCTGTTTTGTGTTGATGCTGAGCGGTTGAGTAGCTATTCACTGCAGCATAAAGTATGAAGAGTATGAAGAGACCATGTTGAAAATATGTGGTCTGACACAAAGCAGAACTGAAAGAAAGCAAACATTTTTGGTAGTAACTCTCTATACTTCCCAACCCTTCCTCATGCAGTCTAGTTTGATCCAAACTAGATTTGTAGACATGAGTCTCAGATAATGAAGTGAGAATAAGATGTTCCTGGAATGACATGGATAAAAGCTTAAATTTGGGAGCAAGCTAAGGATAGCCTACAGATTTGAGGACAGACTCATCGTAGGATGCTGGGTACAGAATAAATCACCATAAGCAGTTTTAAAAGGTAACTGGTAGAAAGCATTAACATTAGATGGTAAAAGACAGAAATCTGGAGGCATTTGAAGACTTTGTAAGCCACTAAATACATAATAGCAATTATATTTCCAAAAGACTATTCTCACTACTCTTCTAGAAACAGAGAGGAATTGAAGTTAGGCCTTACTCACAATTGGCTGATAATATATATTGAGAACTTAAATCAGTGGAGTGCATTTTAGAAAGAAATTGTACCAGACCCAAAGACTTGTTAAGAGGATCAGGCTATTAGGCCTCTCATCTAAAGGATGAAATAGAAATCACCATTTCTATTTGGCAGATAGTAATTTGGCACCAAGGGAGAAAGCTTTACCCCACCTCCCTCTCCTAAGCTATGCCCGCACCATCTTGTGCTTGACTTTCGCAGCTTTACACTTGCATCTCTACTTATAAATCAAGGGCACAAACCTGAAGCCCACATTGGCTTAAATGCAGTCTAATATATAGTAACTGGAAACAGATATCAAAAAACAAGACTTGAAACTTAAACTAGTCTCTTGGGCATATAATTTTTCTTCACCTTACCAGTGGTGCTGTTTTACATCTTTGGTGTTCTGATTTTGTTAATATCTTTCATTTTCTCATTCTAAGTCTCAACTATTCATTGAAGTATTCCTACCTACTTGCCATCTCTCCAGCTAAGAAGTCTCCCAGCTTTAACAGCAGAGGTTGTATGGTATATGCAATATTTGATTGAATTTGAGTCTCATATTACTCTCATAACATCAACTAACTATATAATCAACGTTCTATACATCTTTGTGTGCTCCGTTCTATCCTATAGATCTTGTTTATAACATGAATATTTTAATAGCATGCTTTTTGACATCTGAAACATCCAAAACTTGCTGCAATTCAAAATTTTCTGTTAGCCAATTCAGTTGTTTTCCTACTTTTGTTCCATAAACAGAAGAGAGTATAAACTGTATAAACCAACAATTTAATTGAAACAGAGGAACTTGAGAGTACCAAAACCAATCATGCATAAATGCAAATCCTTTGACTATAATGGATAAAGTGACTTTCCTTACCCTAAAGAGATGCCTGCCCTGGGCCTCAGGGACCATCCTGCACTGTATTTTAATTTCCACACTGAGGATCGTGTTATGACTTTAATTGTCTGGCATGAGTTGCAGATATTATTATTCCATTAGAAAGAGTAAATCGAGTCTCAGAAAAGTTAGCATGCCATGACAGAACCATGATTCACACTGTTGCTTTTGCCAGAGCCTGCTTTTTGTTCCTCTCAATAGTTGGCTGTGATGCTTTAGCTCAGACATTGCTCTCTGGTGATTGACAGGAGACAGTGAAGGGAGCATGATCCTGAAGTTGCCCTGCTGTTAGTAAGCCTAGCCTAACAGTTCTCCCCCAGTCATGGAGGATGAGGGTACTGAGACACATGCTTTTCTTCACTTCATCAGCAGAACTAGTTGTCTACTTTGGAGGCCAAATTTTATAGTAATCAGTGTGGCCTTACAACATTACTGGAGGCTAGGATTTTCATTACTTTACATTTTTTATTTATTTTTCAGAGCCCTGAACCAGTTTATTTTGTCAAAATAAGAAAAATTTGGAGAGCAGTTGTAAATCACTTACCTTTAAAAATGACAAAATGTTTTTGATATTTTCTTTTACAGACTAAGGAACTATGTTGTTGTGTCTAATCAGAAAAGCATGCAAATTAGATAACTTTTCACACTTTGGAATTCTGGTTGCCTAAATAACATTTCAATTTAATACAGAAATTTATTGATTTTTTTTAAGATTTAATTTATTTAGTTATGCATACAAGAGCCGGGGTGTAGTGCAGAGGTCTTAGAGGGAGAGATCAGGATTCAGAAGTCTTGGAGGGTGAGATCAGACAGAATAGGGACCGGAACAGGGAGATCTACTGAAATACGCTGCTAAGGGGATCAGTAGATGAGACAGGATAGGTCTGCTGCCCATATGGGTCACCTTCCTGGCCAGGGATCAAATTTGTGTGGCAGTAGCTATGGATAGCTTCATAGTGCTGACGCTTAACTCCTTGTGCCACCAGGGAGGCCCTGTTAATAATTTTTTTAATGGAATTAATAAACTTTTCAGTATATAAGTGAGAAAGGGACAATGACTGAAGTTGATAGCTAACCATTCTATTCTAGATTTTAAACACAGGTCATGTATGCACACACAGTGCTTGTTTTGAAGTCTTAGTTAGTTACTCACCAGGTAAATGATAGTGATGAAGGATGTGAATTTTTTTAAGTGACCATTTGAACTGGAACTGGACATTTCTTTTTTGTACAACTGTGACTGAATCATACAGAAATTTGTTATGAGGAAGTTAACATTGTACAAACTAATAGGGATTTTGGATTTATTTTCTTTTTCTAATAGTTCGCAAGAGACGAGTTGAAGGAGACTACCAGTAAGCCTGCCAAAGGATAATCTTCAGAAGACTTTGAAAGGTTACCAAGGGCTCATGTTGGTGATGCCAGATAAAAAAATTTTCCTGGGTAAAAGGGAAAAGACTGGAAATGTTCTTTAACTGCATGTTTCTTTTTTCTAGTTTAAGTCGTTAAGCAGTTTCAAATTATAAAATGACTTTAGGTGATGTTTTGTATTTTAAAGCATTATTTCTTTACTTTGCTACAATCATTTTTAACTTAGCTTAATTAAATGGTTCATGGTGAGCCTGAGGTTAAAATTTACAGTTGTATACAAGTTTCAGAAATCATTTATGTAGAGTAACTTAAACATTTTGAGGACCAATCTTTTTAAATTAAATAGGAACAGTGCTGACTACAGAATTACTGTTGCTCCCCTAAGCTGAAGACACTTCAAAGCTTTCCTTATCTTACGACAAGGAAGCTTTTCCATGTTTTAGAATACATGAACTTAGCAAGAGTGTGCTTTTTCCTTCTATCCAAAAGCAGAATATTAAAACAGATGACTTAAAATCTGGCCATCTGTTTAGAGCAGATTTCTAACAGAGAAATGGTTTTGTGCATTCCAGGTCACTGCACTTGGATGTGTCAGCAATACCTGACTTCCCATAAATAAAGTCACCAGCTTTCTGGGCTCATACTTTGCTTAAATATATACTTCTGTCTAAGTTTATTATAGTTTCCGTTTTAATAAAGTGGGCATTATTAAATTTTTATGAACACATAGTAAAAAGCATCTGAAAAGGAAAGCTATTTTCTTTCTTATAAAAGGCAATTGTTGGTTATTTAGGGTAAAAGAGAAAGCAAACTGTTGTTAATAACATGGAATCAAAGATAATAAGAATGTAAAAATTCAAGTCTGAGGAGTATATAAATGGTCACTCAAATTGATGGTTTTTCTGCAAAAACTGGCACACATATAAATTGTTTCAAAGTATGGGAATACAGAATTGTGTTAACAGTTGTAATCATCATTACAAATTTTCCAACCAATAACAAAAACTGCTGTTTTTCATAAGTGTAATTTTTATTATCTATATCTTTCCTATTATACTTTTTTAGCCCATATTATGTAAAAGTAATTTCTCGTGACCAAAGCAGTCTTCCTAATGCTGAAAGTGTTAAAGTGAACATTTGAACAGTGTTCTGTGCTTGGAAGACCGACGCCAGATGCGAAATTGCCAAGGAGGACCTACCCCGTGTTCACGCCCTGCCTCAGGTTAGCTTCTGCACAGGAGAATTGGCAGAGGCATTTACGGTTACCGGACACAGGGGCCTCATCTAAGTGATTCTGCTCTCAGAAATTCAGACCTGTCTCTATCATTCATTTATAGGGAGAGGCCTCTAAAGGGGAAGACTTGTCAGCCTTTTAAAATTAAATAAATTGTCTGCTTTGGCTTGGACTGCACAGTTAAGCTGATGGCTTAGCAGTTTCTTGTGCACTATGGCAATAAGCCTTCTTAGGAGAAATTTTCCTCTTAAGAACTAAGGTGTGCCTGTTTTTTGAATCCATATTCAGTGTTTAAAAGGGGCCAGGATTAATTCTGCACTATTCCCTTTCAGGTATAGGCTGCTGGTGGTTTTTTCAAGTTAGATGTATGCGCCCCTCCCCTTCTTTTCACATGCAACTTTGGATTTGTACTTGACTTGAGGCTGCACAGCCCTGCCAGAGCTGGGGAGTCAACATGGACCCTTTATAGAGGCTGCCATTTAACTTTTAGCACGGCTTCCTTGCTCATACTATTCTCTAAATCAGTAAAATGAGAATATGTTAACCTTTCCTCCCATGAGTTTATTTTTTTTTTTAATTCAGATATAGGTAGGACCCTATATATAGGTGGACCCTACCAAGAATTGTGTATCATACTTTCAAGTAATGTTTTTTTCAGTTACTATTTATCAAAGCTGCATAAGTTCACTGTTTCCTTGTACTATTCCAGTTCTGAGCAACAGAATAGTTCATTATATAATTAGAGAAAAGTTTTCTACATAAGTAACTTTAAAGATGAATATTCATCTGATTGAATACAGAAAATCTTTTAAGAATGTTACTTTACAAGGGAGAAAACTGATGTTTACTTTGATCTTTAAAAACTTGGCACCTCAGCTTTTTAAGCTTTCACTATTTCAAGATTGCTCCAAAATTTGATAAATTATAATTTTGAAGTAGTGATTTTTAAGCCAAAATTTTTTTAAGGTTTTATAGTCTTAGCCAATTAAACTGGTAATCAAATCAAAGGATTTTTTTTTTGCATTTTTAGATTGCTGTTTTTTAACAACTTTTTAACTGCCCATTTTATAAAATTTGTATTTGTTTGAAGTTATAATTTTTCCACTATGTCTGTTTGAAATAGCATGTATTTAAAAATAAATTGCTAATATTGACATTATTAAAATGAATTTTGGTGCTGTATACTATAGCAGAAACCTATTAGAAGTCCAAAGTATAAATTTCCTATGGGTGCCTGTCATTTAAAAGACCACATTTGGTGTTAAATTAGTAGATTGTTAAAGATATCAAGGAGAATTTTCTCAGTTGTTAAATTGTTAATTGTTGCTATTTAAATGAAATAACTCGTTTGCTTGCTTTGTGCATTAGATATACTCTGGAAAAGTTACATGTAAATAGAACTTTGTAAAATGTTTTCCATTGACAGTATCTGACATATTTTCATTTAAAGAAGAGGATTCCTTCATATAATAAAAATTATAAAGGAAAAAATGTTTTGATAAAAATGTTAGTGATATATTGTACATTATATTTAACCTTTGCTGCCATTAAAATAAGATGGAAGGACTCATGGTGTTTCATAAAATCGTATATTTTTGCTTCTGTAGCCCTAATAACTGCCTGACATTTCCTTATTAAATCAGTAACTACTCTTACCTTCCAGGAAAGGATAATGCTTTTTTTAGCGACCTTTCTCTGGCTGGTTCATTATTGTCCAACTTTATTCTCCTTTATTACATTCTCCTTTATTCTCATTTATTCCACATCACTGGAAAATATTTTTTCCAGGCTTATTGAGATATAATAGACATATAGCATATTAGTTTTAAGTGGATAAAGATTAGATCTATGTGTATACTACAAAATGATCACCACCAATAAGTTTAATATCCATCACCTCTCATGGTTAAAAAAAGTTCTTCATTTTTCCTTGTGATGAGAATTTACAAGATTTGTTCTCTTAACAACTTTCAAATCTATAATACAGTTTGTTAACTATAGTCATCTTCCTGTGCATTCATAGTCTATACTTAAAACTGGAATTTTGTATCTTTTGCCCACATTCATCTGTTCTGCCAACTGTCCTCCACCTTATTCTTCATTCCCCACCTCTCTTAACCCCCCACCCCTGGCAGCCAGCAGTCTCTTCTCTGGCTCTTTTGAGTTCAGTTTTCCTAGATTCTCATATAAATGAGATGAAAGAATATTTGTCTTTCTTGTCTATTTCATTTGGTGTAATGACCTCAAGGCCATTTCATTTTTGAATAGTGTTGACTAAAGACAAAGCACCCACAAAGTAACTCCTCTATTGTTGCTCTTGGGTCTAAACATCTGTAGAACTGTCTTTTCTCCATCAGTGATCACTGATCACTAATGTTTCTAGATATTTCTCATTATAAGGCTATCTTACCAAGTAAACTTCACTATATTTAAATTGAGAAAATTGTATTCAAAAACTAAAGATTTTTAATTATGTCATACTTTAATTTGGTCATTCTTATGTCATATGGACTTTTATGGATTATGATTCAACTCTATAAATTCTTTTATTACATTTTAGTAATGTTTAACTTGTAACCCTAACTCTTTGAGGAGCCAGTTTTAGGGGCTGCCTAGGGAAAAACGACATTACTTAGTAAACTGCTTATAAGGCATTATTGAGTATTTTAGAAGCCTTTATTGACATATAAAATTTTTTACTTAAGACACCTATACTAGTGGCTACATAAAAATAGATTATAGCACTATGAGATAACCACTAGCCATGTTTTATTAACACAGTTGTACAAAGATCATATATTTTTAAGATAATCAGACACTTTGAGTCTACCTATGTATCTGAGGTTTCACTTCCTTTTCTGCCAGTATGTTTTATTTGCAGTAGAGCAGTTAATTGACCTAAACTCTGCAAATATTTTGTCCATATTTATATGTTGTATGTCAGGTTTAATAAGGACAAATTCTGGGTTTTTCTTGATGTGTATGTATAGGAATTTATGCTAGTTTAAATTTCATTTCCATCGAAAAAGAAATATAGTTTTGGTAAGTTTCAATTTTTTTTATTTGCTTGAGAATCAGAAAAAAGTAATTGCATGTCTGCATGTACATATAAAAACTTTTGTAATTTGAAACACATTATTTTCAGTCCTTTATATTTGGCCTCAGTATGTGTAAAACCTTTATAATAGTGCATCATTTTTTGTCATGTAAAACCAGGAACTTAAATACATTTTAATGCTAAATATTCAAAATACTGTTCATATTTTTTTCAATTTTTATAAATAAGAGTAAATTTTGTAACAGGATTTAATATACAAACCTATTTCTTAATAAAACATTGAAATTTCTTCAGAAGAATATGTATCATACGCATTTAGAATTTACCACTTCATACTGAAATAAATTCAATAAACTTTATCAAATATTCTGTACACTTGGAGTTTTGAAAAAGCACATGATTCCTTTTAGTTCCTTTGTCCTAAAAGTCATTGCTTACGTAACTCTTCAAGGACAGCCTTATAAATTTACCTGAGTTAATGTGTCCCACCCTAAGTTAAGTCATATACAGTTGTCTCTGTTTGGCAATTTTTACTTATAAAATAGTCATTTCACATGGTTCAATCTAATTTGCTGATACTCCATCTGGTGTGTAAGTAAAATTATACTGAACTGACTAATACTAAAGAAACAGGGTCTTGTGATACAGTCTACTGTGGACCTGATGTGACAGATGATTTTTATAATAAAAAGCAAAGCTATCTCCTGTTCTCACATATCTACAAGCCAAAAGAGGAAATCAGTAAAATATTTAATTAGCTTGATGAATAACAATTATGCATAAGTGTCAAATAATTTAATGTTAAATATTCAGGGTTCTGAAATGTAGTCGCGTAAATTCCCCTTTAATCTTTCATGTAGGCTGGCCTACCAAGGATGGCTATTCGACTTACAGTCATGTACAAGGTTCCTTGATACCTGTCTGTTTTGGCGAGATGGAAGTTCAGGTGCTTGAATTGTCAGGTAACTCCAGCTCCCACAGTTTTGGAAAACATTTCATTGATACTCAACTCCCAGAGGTAGGAAAAGAGATACATTAGATAAGGAAGGATTTGTATAGTCAAGTCTAAAACCCAAGTTGAGAAAATTGACTGCAGAGAAGTACCTTGACCAAGATAATACTGTTGGCTTGTCATTTGATAACTAAATCTTAGTAAAGTCTTAGTAAAATCTATGTTCCAGCTGTTGTACCAGTCACAAAGCTGGAAGTGAAATGTATTGTTTCCTAATTGCTCTTTTCTCTAAATCTATAGTGGCCCATTATCTCAGGTATTTTGAGTGCTCACGATACACTAGGTCAGTACTGTGATTGCTATGCTCATAGGACATAGGACCCTGACCTGTGTCTCAAAAAAAAAAATAAATACATATATATATATGTACTTTTTTACTTAAGGGAAAAGGCTTTGGACAAAGAAACTCTTTAAACCCGAGTGTCCACATCTGTAAATGCCAGTCACATTTATACCTGCCCCTTGAGTTATTCTGAAGATTAGAATTGGTGAGGCCTGTATAGCCCTTGGCAAAATACAATAGCCAGGAGCCCTCCCAACCTGGAATACAACATGGTCAGTTGAAAGCGTACCATGTCAGGGGCTTGTACTAAACAGGACTCCAAACCCAGCTATCAGGACAGACAACACAACTTAGAGATTCTGGTGATAATCCTGAGTTAATCTTTGCTGGCCAGGAGGAGGATTGAAGCAGAGTAGTGAGAAGGTACAAAAACCCAAGACCCAGAGCAAAGTTATCAAAAATAAACTTCTTTGGGAAAAATAAACACCTTCAAGTCAAAAGTTTGCTTTGTAACCTTTTTATTCACAACCAGGGTAGTGCAAAAGCAACTTGATTCATCAATGAATACAAGTCATTGCATCCTTGTTTTAAAGCAAACCTGAATACAGCAAGTACATATTTTATGCTTCAGTCTTCTTCTCCCCTGCTTTCTTCTTTCTGGAGGGTTCACCTTCTGAACAGATAAGAGAGTTAAGATATAAAACTTGGGCCCTCCCTGATGGCACAACAGGTTAAAGCACAGCACTGTGAAGTGATCCATAGCCACTGCAACACGAGTTCGATTCCCAGCCAAGGAGGTGACCCACATCATGCGGCAGACCTCTCCTGATCCACCTGCTGCTCTCCTCTACAGTGTATTTCAGTCACTGTGCCTGTTCTGCTCCCACTTCTTTCTCTGGTGAACCCTCTTACCCCTCCCCCCCCATGCCTCTGGCCTATACCCCAGTTCTTGTATAAATAAATAAATCTTTAAAAGAAAATGATGTAGGCCCTCGCTGGTGGCGCAGCAGGTTAAAGCACAGCACTGAGAAGCTAAAGCCACTTCCACATGAGTTCGATTCCCGCCTGTCCCGGAGGTGACCACATGGCGCGGCAGACCTCTCCTGACCCGCCTGCTGCTCCCCTCAGCAGTGTACTTCGTCAATCTGCCTGTTCTGCTCCCCACTCTGTCTCTGGTGAAGCCTCTCACCGCCCCTGAGCCTCTGGCCTGTACCCCAGTTCTGTATGTACAAATAAAGTAAATCTTTAAAAGAAAAAAAAAATGATGTAAAACTATATCCAGAGTTTCTGGAGATCTTGTCTAAAGCAGCTCTGAGCTGACCATGGGGAAGCCAGCTGAACCTAACTGCCCGGCAGGAACCTTTGCCCTTGCACACTGTCTGCAGCAGGGGTGGCAGTGGGGTGTGCAGTGTCAGGGCTGGCAGGATACTTCCCTCCCTTCCTACCAGATTCTTTTTCTTTTTCCCACCAGATTCTTCATCTTATTTCTTAATACATTCCTCTGCTTCCTCAGAAATTTCTCTTTAAAACATAAGTATTTTAAAGCCTGTGGATTTTATTTTCTAAAGATATATATATATATATATTTATGCATACAAGAACTGTGGTACAGGCCAGAGGTGCAGGGTGTGAGAGGATTCACCAGAGCCAGAGTGGGGAGCAGAACAGGCAGACTGACTGAAATACACTGCTGAGGGGAGCAGCGGGTGAGACAGGAGAGGTCTGCTGTGCCATGTGGGTCAGTTCCCCTGCCTGGGGACTGAACTTGTGCTGCAGTAGCTGCAGATAGCTTCATAGTGCTGTGCGTTAGCCTTGTGCCACCAGGGAGGCCCTGAAAGTACATAACTTTTTTTTTAAGATTTATTTATTTATGCACACACAGCTGGGGTACAAGCCAGAGGTTAAGGGTCGGTGAGAGGATTCACCAGATACAGAGTGGGGAGCAGAACAGGCGGACTGACAAAGTATATTGCTGAGGGGAGCTGTGGGCGGGTCAGGAGAGGTCTGCCCTGCCATATTGATCACCCCTGGAGTGGGCCGAGATTCAACTCATGCTGAAGTGGCTCTAGCTTCTTAATGCTGTGTTTTAACTTGCTCGGCCACCAGGGAAGGCTGAAAGTGCATAACTTTTGATAATGCTGAAATGACTTTGATATTAGAGGCTTTGTTTCCAGATTGATCACTTCAAAATGCCCAAGAACTCTATACTCACTTTTTTTTTAAGCCACAGATTAAAAATATTGGGTATTTAACAATAGCACTGCTTATTAAACACTTTCCTCCATAAAATTAAATTAACAAATAAAGGCCATTGTGCTGTTGCCCTCAGTAAATAACAATACAGGGAGTAAGAACCCACCAGAGCAAAAGCACGTTCTGCTTTTGTGAGTCCACATCTGACTCACTTAGGAGTTCCTGTGGATAATCATATTCAGTGTCTTCCCAGCTTTCTCATCCTCACTGTCAGGGCCCTGATAGTGGACACTTGGTCCCTGCTGGTTCTGCTTCTAATACAGATGAATTATCTGACACTTCTGGTGAGTAGATGCCCTCAGACATTCTTCTTTCTGTAAAGAAAGAAATTTTACTTTAAAGATGAACTAATTTTGTGTCCATTTGAACCTACTTTTCTATATGAAATTTACTTTTCTAAAGCCCAGAATATTGCTTATTTCCTGTGTTGCCATTCCTTAGTTGCTACCACACATGGGAATCAGTTTATTTCATTTTAAGGTGTGAAAGGAACACGGGGTGCAGAGCAGGAGCTCCCTCCCACTCTGCCCTGTCAGAACTTGCAGGCTGAGCCTTGGGAGCTTCACTGGCCTCTGTGCTGCCAGTCAGAGCCCCAAGAGCAGCCTGAGGGAGCTGTTTCTGTTCGTTCCTAAACTGCAGATGACTCACTCGCTCCTCCAAACTGCCACAGTGCTCAGCTATTCTGCACCCCTCAATCCAAAGAACTCCCCCAATAGCTCCTGATGATAGGATGTGTTGGTGCCAGTAGAGGAGGGAGGCCCCAAAGTAGAACCTTCATTTCCTTCTAAGTCTGCCAGGCAGCCCCTCATTGGGCTTCATAAGACAGGACAGTGTTAAAGAGGCAGTTTTATTTGACCTCCATATACTACCTTTTCAGTCAACAGTTTTATGGTATCTGTCATAATTTTTTAAATTACTGGTTTCCTCTGAAGTCTCAGGCTGAGGAGAGAACAACTGTGTGTCTCACCACTAGCTGTTGACATTACTATGGTGAACCACATGCTTACTCAGTTAAGCTGCTTTCTTGGTAAGAAATGAATTGGCAAGAATAAGAAAATAAGATTAATATTTATGTTATTATTAATATTGGTCACATTATTAATACAATGGTGAATTAAGAGTAGAAAACATTTATATGTATATGTGTGTGTGTATATATATATATATATATAGTTTATTTTTACATCATTTTGTGCATTTTTCCATCTCATTTGCAACCCCCTTGGGCTTCCCATCACCAAATCACCCATGTGCCATTACCACAGTAGAAAACACAGTTCTTATACTCCAAAGTTACCAGGAAAAACTAACCGTGCACTGGTATTCAGAATCACAGCAAGCCATTAGAATTCTGTGTCCTTGAGCATCTGTTAATAATGTGGCAGGGTCCATCTTATGTGTGACACTGCAGAGTGAGGTCTGCCGGGAAAGGGACAAAAACGTCTCACCATTTACTAAGAACATTTGGAGGTATCAGACCAACAGCAGATGGTAGACGAGCCCACCTTCCCTCCTGAAGAGCAAGAGGCAGGTCCCAGTTGTGGGGCCTTGTGACAGGCCAGGTACCGCTCCACCAGCTGCTCTTTAACTGCATGGTTACTAACATCAGTAGGAATAGTTACCTAAAGGTGAGTTTGGATTTAAAGATGGCTGTAGAGGTGTCTCGAATAAA